ATTATTGAAATTCACAATTAAAATACGAAAATTAATATTAATGCAGCAGCGTATTTGTATAATATCAGTTGAAGTGCGCAATATTATGAAAATAACTGAAATGTTATAGCACTTTGAATTTATGTTAAATTGTACTAATCTTGCATAATGTAGCGACATGTAATGGTGTAATTTCGAGTAATTGTATAAGTGATTTCTTTAAACTTTTTAGAAACAATTTTCTTTAAATGTCTGCTGTATGCATTAAAAACATGAACGATTTTTAAAAAATTTTAAATTTCCTAAGTTTAAATGTGCCATTTTATAAAAATGACAGTATTTCGTTAAAAATATTTTTATTTCTGTTTAAAAAATTTGCAATATTTTAAATACTTTTGATGATATTATAGTGTCGAAATAATAAAAAAAATTTAAAACTAATTAATGATTTAATTAACATTTCCCATCGTTATTAATAATCAATTTTCTACTACAATAATTCTAAGCGCAGAGGTAAACATAATTTCTTCTTCTTTTTCTTTAAACATTTATATCCTGAAATTATATAAGAGTTGTATAGAGAAATTATCAAGCTTATAAATAATTAATTAAAAGACATTTTTTTTTTATATTAAATAATCTTTTATATATTATTCTTTATACCTCAACATCCACGAAAAAAAAACGATAAAGCTCGTTAATCCATAAATCATGCAGTTAATTGTGTTTCAACGATCAATTTGATAGATAAACTTCCCCGGCTTCTATATTTAAAGAATAATGAAATAAATATATAATTACAAAAAATTTACGTAGTTATTAAAGTATAAGTAAAAAAAAGAAGTATAAATTATGTATTCAATAAGTTTAAAAGTTTTATTTTGATAACTCGTAATGTTTAATGATAAATAATTATACATTATTATTATAAACATCGATATATTTTAATTTCAGTCATTTGCGCATAACCATATGGTAAAATGAATTTTCACAACATTCTAACGTAGATAAATATTTTATTAATAAAAGTTGCTATAACATTGAAAGTTAATTATGACGCATTAAATATTCACGATAAAATTAACTAACATAATGATTACTAAAATTATTTCGTTTGTAAATATAATATTTGAAGTGAATTATAGTATTGGTATTTCTGTGTAATAATAACATTAGTAAATATTACTATACAAGTCGATAAAATTTGTGTTCACATTATAAATAAAATTATCATGATTACAATGTAAACTTTCTTAAATACAAGAAAATATTTTTATAACTTTTTAGTTTTAATTAAAATTTATTAGAAAACCATGGGATATTCATTTTAATCAATAAATAAAATAACAAACAAAGTTTTTATTTATTTTTATTTTATTTATTTGTTAATTATAATTTTATAATATTATTTATAATATAATACAAGCTACTCCAAAGATTTATTAATCCGAAGCAAATATGAATTTTAGGAAAAATTGTATGAATTTCAGAATTGCCTCTTAAAATCAATTATGAGAGTAAAAGCAAATTAAATATATTGAACATAATATATAAATTTCCAATTGCATTCTATGAAATATTTAAAAATCTCAACAGATAATTCTGATCCTTTTTTTGTTTTAACAAAATAAAGAAAATAAAAATTTAAGCTCTTGCGATGTTGCTCCCTGTTTGTTTCTTCTTTATTTATTATTTGTTTTTTATAGTACAGCAAGCTTTTCAATTAACAAATTATAATTTAATTCGATCTCGTATAACGATGTTCGACCTAGAGAATTAAAAGGAGGCAGATGCAAGAGAGAGAGAGAGAGAGAGAGAGAGAGAAGAGAGAGAGAGAAGAGAGAGCGCCATAAAGAAGAATGAAGGAAAGATAACGAAAGAAAAGGTAGGAAAATTCAGAGGACACAAAAACTAATTATGGTAGTGATAGTGATGACAATTGTGTGGATGGTGGTACGTTTAACCAATGATGTTGTTAGTATTGAGAATTATGACTAGGTTATACAACTATAGCTAGAAAAGGAATATTGATCATGTTTGTCAACTTTTTTTCACTTCTATCCAATTCATATTATCACTTTATTTTTTTTAGCCAATAGTTTAATATAAATTGCAATCGAATATTTCAGCTGTTGGGCTTGGTTTATTATAGTCACTATGTACTATCTCAGGTTCGTGCTTTTTTGTCTGTTCTTTTTTTTTCTTTTTTTCTTTTGTTTTTTTTTTTCTTTTTTTTTTAACTCAATAACAGTGCAGACAATTTGTACGTCATTATAAAATAAAGTAATCGATCATTTTAAGAAAAAAAATAACTGAAACTTTAAAATGCACATATCGACAAAATTTATCGTAAAGAGTAAGGAATTTGACTATCTATGAAAATATATTTTGCGACTAGAATTTAGAATTTTAAATTATAATCCGTGTATTTGTCGCTTGGTGATGAGTCCCGGGAAATAGAATTGTATGCGGATCGATGAGCCGGTTATTCTTGGACTTTTGGACATATGAAATGCGGCATTCCCAAAGACTACAAAACTTCGCAAATTTTATTCGCAATCTCTATAGAAGGTAGTATGAAAAATAATGTAAAATGGCATTTAATCCCAATGAAAATTTCAATCAGTTCAATTCAATTTAATAAAACCCCACCTTTAATAAAATATTTGTTCCTTCTTTACCTCTTTCTATCGCTTTAATTTTAATAATTTTTTATTTTTAATTCAATTTACATTTACATATACGCGTACCCTCAACATCAGAGTTTAATTTTAATTTATGCAAAATTCTCGTTAAGTTATTTTCTTATACTTTTCTCAAATTCTTCCCTTCACAATGTTACAGATATTGTGAAGCACATAATGTGCATTTAATTACAGATAATGCTCATTTCATTCTCAAACTCTTAATCTTATTAATAGAATTTTAGCGGCAACATAATAGCCAAACAACCTTATATACACTTGCTTGCTCGATATAATCATTTAATTATTAAATTAATCGTAGACTTTATACTCTCGGTATTAATATACCACGAAAAATAGATATACAAAACAATTATTATTGAAAAAGCAATAAATTAAGATAACTCTAAACACCATTAAAGCGTCCGATTCAAAATTCAAACTAAAAATCTCTATTATACATTATCGAATAATAAGCAAATAAGGATACAGGAATAGCAAATGAACTTGTCCGTCAATAGTAAGCAAAATCAACAAAGTGATCAATAATCAAGGGCAAACATTGCAATCCACTCCCCTCCTCGATATCTTATTCACGAATGCAGTCGTACACTCGCCTACAATTTCGTTCAATGCACATACGTACATTTCATAGTATCGGAGCTGCTCACGGCGAACTTGTCTCGAGTTTCGAGTAACGAATCAATTGAGCGATTTTGAAGAAGTCGCGAGTCACCCGCTCACCGGAAGTCCCAATCCTCTCAAGCGTCCTTGGCCCTCAATTATATTCCCATTGCCCCCCCCCCCCCCCCCCCCCCCCCCCCCCCCCCCCCCGCGAAGCGCTCGCACTCCAATTTACTTTTTACAGCGACAGAAAATTGTACATTGTTAAAGTCGCCGTTTGAATTATTATTTCCTACGACGAGAATGATTCGTTTATAGTATTTTAAAGACGAACGCTCTATGACAAAATGAAAAAGGAATTTCGAGCTGCGTCGACGATCGACGATCGAGTGCACAAGCATTTCTTTTCTTTTTTTTCTTTATCGACGTTCCTTAATTTAACATATTATCGGGCTTCCGATTCTTCGGTTTAAATTTAAATTTATAATCTATATGCTCTTTTTAAATAGGTTCACAACTAGAAGAACAACGCTTCAAACAGAAGTAAAGAATTTTATTATTATAAGCATAAATTTCTCTGAAAATACAAAAATATCCACGTTTTATATATACATGCATGCATACACACACACGCACGCACGCACACACACGCACACACACACACACGCACGCACGCACGCACGCACGCACATATATATGTATATATATATATATATATATATATATATAACAATGGGGAGTACATATGAGCAAATAATACAATCATTTAGTGTCTTAATAATCGGTAGTAAAGTATAAAATTGCCCGATCTAATGTTATTACTCATCGCCAAGTATTTCAGTCATACCGCAAAGTTCGTGTTCTGACAGAAAGGAGAAAGGACCTCGCGTGAGCTAGTTAAGGAGCTATTTGAGGCCTAATTTTTCGCAAACAACCAATGCAAAATTTTATCAATCTCAACAGCATTGGCACTCATTATGTTACGCTAATAAAACGTAAAGTTGAGGAGAAATTTATTAAGATAAATATATTTTTGATTATCCTAGCGCGGTTAATTGGAATTAAGACACGATAATAAAAATTAAACGAATAAATATTTTTTTCCCTACGATATAGCAATGATATTTACAATAAAGTAAAAAGTAAGGTAAGAGAGAGGAGAGGCGAGAAGTTATAGCACGAGGACTAAATTTCGTAAAAGTACGAGGTGCAAGTGATTTAAAATTTTTAAAAGTGACTCGCAATAGCATTGCGAAACGCGGTCGTACAGAATTCCTCGGCAGGTTAAACGCAAAAGAAAATATCAATGACGTAAAAAACTTTTAATACGCATTCAAAATTTTGATGTCAATCAGCAAAAAAAAAAAATAAAAAAATAAAAAAATAATAATAAAGGCATTTCCTCTGAACGGTCCGAAAAGCATCTCGATGATAATAATCAAAGCAAAGAATCGCGAAATAAACGTTCGCCTCCCGGAAGGTAAGCTTCATTCGTCATTCATACTCCATCTCTTTCGAAAAAAAGAGCGGATAGCGGCGCCTCTGCCGTAAACAAAACAAAAAAAAAAATCAAAAAAAAAAATATCGTGGCACCACTCGTCCTTTGCTAGTTGTGCACGAGCGCGAGATGCATCATTAGTCGTCCTAAAACAATTTAGAACGGCCATACATTCGTTAAATTCATCCTACTTTAAGACAAGACCACGCGCAATATCACGCGCAGGTCGTGATTACTTCCCTCGTTGGAGGCCCTCGATTGCCCCGGGCGTACACAAAATAAATACAACGCAGCCGCCAGGTGAGTGGTCCCCCATTCAGCGACTCGGACTCCATTATTTCGCCGCGTCCTCGAAGGTCTCTTTGATGCGGCTGACAATGCGCGAGACGAACTCCTTAAGGAGGCCCTCCATGCGCTTGCCAGTCACCATGACCTCTTCGTGGTTCACCTCCGTGTGGTCGTCGTAATCGTCGACGCAGCGGTTCGTTATAAGGCTAAAGGCGACGATCTTCATGTCGCAGTGGCGCGCTGTTATTACCTCGTGTACCGTCGACATGCCTAAAAACAGATAAGTCAAGGCTTATTAGCATCGAGCTGCTTGCAAGGAGCTTTACACATAAGCGCCCACCTCTCCTTTCACCATACCTTTCACTCATTCGCTTTTGCCGGCTCTCCTAATCGGAAAGCGAGACACAGCGATAGCACACGCTATTAATTAACCAAGTTAAGCCAACCTCGGACATTTGTTTTCTCAATACTTAAAGGCGATTCTTATGCCGGAATTAGTAGTATTAATTTTGTTTAATTAGCGCGCTATTCGATAAGATTTTTTATTAATGTAATTTCGCTGCACGTTAAGCACTTATCCGTAAATTAATGTCATTATCAAATATTGACAAACGACACTCTATCGATGCTACGATTGTAGCATCGACCATTATATTATGTGTGTGGTGTACCGAAAATTTGACGACACTCGCATTCTATGATAAGAGATTCCATGATAAAATGCATGTCACGTTATATGAGAATAAATTGAAAAGAACTTGATTATTAGATTGGAATATTTTTATATAAAATGAAATATCATCGATTTCGTTATGAAAACGAAGTTGTTACTTAGCTATGGGATATGTGTCTCTAACGATATATTGGCCCACAATTATTTGAAAATTAATCTATTTTCAGTTTAAGTAAATAAAGTCAAATAAAGTCAATTTGGCCGAAAGTCATTTTCATACGAAAATCGTAATGTCAGCGATTAACATAGAACTACATGAGATATTACCCAATGACTTTTCGACGTATTTAACGTACAAAAACGAATTATGGCATTTGTTGAATTTGGTACGACTGATGGTAATGTTATAGAATGGCTAAATTTTTGACAAATATAATTATCATATCGATAGTTATCTCGATTCATTATTAATTTAATGAGGGCTACGCGCCTGAATTGTCAAGGATAGATTACACAGCCATTACGATAATTAACCGTCGAACGATATTATAAAAAATATTTTTTTTAATCAACGACTATTAAATCGATACGGAAATAAATACTTGCATATTTTAATGCTTTATTAGCGAGTTAGTGTGTTTGTTAAAAAATAATATTTCTAATAATAAATCCAACTAGTTGCGAATGGCAGTTTATAAATTCATAGCATTATTAGCTCGATAAAAGCCGAATTTCACTAGTGCTAAAGTGGCTTCTTTGAATTTTCACTTTCGCATAGTAAAATAGCACTCGGGATAATTTATAGCGATAGTTTTCCCCTTATACTGTCTTCGGCGACATAATACACAATTACGGATCCGAAAAGTTAGCCGATCCAAAGTTAACGCCCTATGAAATGCCTTATAATATTCATATGTCGATGTGACGAAGATAGGAATATATACGCGCGCGCGCTAGCGTACACGTATATGTATATTTACTGACCAATCGCGTCGACACCAAGGACCCTAAGAAGTTTCATCTCGGCCACGGTCTCGTAGTTTGGCCCACCGAGACACGTGTAGACGCCCTTGTGGGTGATGTTTTGCAATCCCATTTCTTCGACCACTTCATCGCAGATGGCGAGGAGCTGCTTGTCGTAAGCCTTGTTCATGGCGAGGAATCGGGGCCCAAATCTGCAATCACATGGAATAGCAAATTACGACGGCTCGCTATCAAATATCATGTGCAAGGAAAAGTAATACACATACATCACCCGTTAAATGAGTCAGAGACACTAGTTTTATACGATTCTGTATTATCTAATATAATTATTAATAAAAACGATTAGCGTGACTCTTTAATTATATCGTTACTTCGAGAGATAGGGAGAGGGAAGACGAGAGTTGTCAATATTTTATTCCAATTTTATTCGAATGAGTATTTTCTATAGAGCTTCTATGCAACGGCACAATTTTGTTATTTCTCTATTGGCCATTAATTATGCGATTCGCAACAAATGTTACCGTGAAAACTACCTCTTTTTTTTTTGAAAACTATATGAAAAAAGTGATAAGTTATAAGTTAATATGTGAAACATGCGATTTCGACATTCTTTCGTACAATTCCTCGCCATATATAAATTTATCGATATCTAATTTTTATTCACACATTATCCATTATTCAAATAGATAGATAAACGAGTATTGCAAGATTGTCTCAAATCAAGGAAAGAGGAGTTCCAAGATAACCTTGAGACAAAGCTCTTCTTCTTGTTTTTTTTTTTTTTTTTTTTTTTTTTTTTTTTTTTTTTTTTATTGAATTATAAAATAATATATCCGAGTAAGTTCGTCATAATTAACTAACATGAAAAGTTACCATTATATTATGTGTTTACTGATGACGTCAAAACTAATAAGTCTTTCCATGCTTTTTATTGGGAATGTATTTGCTCCGATATCATACGATATTTCTTAAAATGATTGAAAAATACTTTAGGATAAATTATTGCGTTGGGTTCTAGAATATTTTCCGAGCCAATTATCTATACTGCTATCATAATTTTATAAAATAACGTAGATGGATAATATAAAAATTCGCCTTTTTTATGTATTAAATAATTTAATGCGAAAATATTGATATATTTTGCAAATAAGGTAGAATATTTTATAACTGAATACCTTAAAAATGTTAAAATATGGCAATAAGGATATAATCTTTCTACAAAGTTTTAGACAAAAGTGATGAAAAAATCGCTAATATAACAATGTGAATGATTCGTCGAAATACTTGTGATTATACTGTTATATTATTATTATTTATTAACAAAATTTATCTTCAATTATACATTTTTTTTTTGTTTTTGTTTTTTGTTTTAGATTATTCCTTGATTTATGGATGAATGAATATCGACTAAAATCATATAAAATAAGATGTGTTAAAAAGATATATAAAAAAAAAAAAAAAAAAAAAAAAAAAAAAAATCAAATAATTAATGAAAAGAGACAACTAATGTTAGTGAAAATTTTCATCTCGCAAAATCAACACAGACGTACTACAGGATGAAATAAAAGATGAAAGAACTAGTCGACGGAGGAAAGTGTGCACGCGTTGAAAAAGGGGAAAACGGTGGCGGAAGCAGTCAAGAGCGTAAGAAGTTCTTTAAATAAATATGCCAATCAGATTTTTTTCTATCTCCGTGCAAATAGTTCATCAAACCGAGTCAAGGAGTCACATTATCATGAAATAAATTCATTCACTTCATCCGGCACTACTCGCCATTTCCATTCATTTTTCCCTTCTATCAAGTTTCAATTCAAAATAATTTAAACCCTCGGCGTTTAATTTTATTCTTCGACTATCGCCCAATTTACCTTTTTCATTGTCCCATTTCACTTACAAGGGGCTAAGTTGGTGTATTTTAATTAACGATTGAGTAATTGTTAAAGTAACGTAAATAAAATTGAAATTAGTACTTTTGTAGCGTATAAGAGAGAAATTTTAAAAAATAAACAATAATAGAATTTTTGTCACGAAAAATAGTAAGAAAAATATTATTTCTTATTATTATAAATAATAAAAAATATATCACTTCGCCAATTGTCTCTTACATTTGTCTGTACTATTATTAAAAAATATTAATCAAAATTATTAATGATCTTTAATTGTCAAATATAAATATAATAGGTATAATAAAAAGATAAATGAAAAGTGCGCCCTATTATTTAAATAATAACAAATGCAGGTATTATTCAAGATTCCTGTTTTGTTGTACTTGAAAATGAAGCTACAAGTAATTATTTATAATATTTTTTATACTATTTAATTTTATTTTTTTTTATTTTATTTATTTAATTAATTTTTTTTTTGTTCATACACGCTGTTTAAGTCGATATATTTATCTCTAACGGTCGTACTTAACATCGATATATTAATTTGCCCATATTTGTGTATCTAATTTACCAATGTTAAATAGATATTCAACATCGCCGTATCAACTTGGTGTGCAATTTCATTCGATGATTATATAAAATAAGAAAAAAATAAAAAATATTTATATCATAGAAAAATAACTATGACAATAATTTATTTCTACTAGAAATTGCATGAAATTATATCCTATTTATGGTAATTCTTTAATTTTTAATTTTTACTAGCGCATTGTATAATAATGCAAATGCGTATACAAAATACCAACTTCAAACAAAGAAAACAGTGCGCGAGATCGCTCATTTCGTCCAGTTTACATGATTTCATTATTAGATCCTTGTTTGAAAAGACTCATTAGAAAAGAAAAATCCATTATTTAATGATAGAAAAATATAATGTTCTGTTGCGCAGCGCTCGTTAAAATCAAATTGAAATTAAAAAGATATAAAAATCTAAATATTCTGTAAAAATTAAATTCATTAGATATTACATGTATTGCCATACAGTACCGTGGAAATTATATTAATACATTCATGAGAGAATAAATAATTTTCTCAACTTTATGATAAAATCATTTAACAATAAAACTCTCGTTGTTATAAAATGGCTTTTATACGTGATAATGCCATATCATAAAGAAAGTTTTACATGCAAACGAAACAATATTAATAATCAATGGCTTACAACTAATGACAATAATCATATCTATTAAATATTAAAAGCAGTTAATGCAATAAGAATTGAGTATAACAGACTACTGTATTAGTAGTGATATGTTGTTTCTTTCTCTCTATCTCTTACACAACGAAGGAAAATGGAAGAAAAATGAATTAATTAGTTGCAAAATTTTTTAATGACGTATTAAGAGATCACACGTACCTGTCATCATTGGGACCCTGAAGAGGATTGTTCCCTGCAAAACCCATGATGTTTACGTGATCCTTCATTAACATAATATCACCGGGATTATATGTTGAATTAAGCCCGCCAGCAGCATTTGTAACGATAAGATGCGTTACGCCGATCAGCTTCATCACTCTAACTGGCATCGCACACTGTATTTCAACAAAACAAAGAATAAAATTGCAAATCGCTCCGTGTGAATTACAAATAAAGACAATGCATCTCTTAAATTCATTGTTGCTGTATGTTGAAAATGACATGTGATGAATTAATTGACGCAGCCATTGATTAAAGCCACTTGAGAATATTAATTATCCGGACTATTATATCGGATATCAATAACGCATTTATAATAAATTATTTAATTCTTTATTAAATCGAAGAGATATCGTGATGAGTAAATTACTTTGGTAAAAAAAAAGAGCCGGTAAAACGAGTAATTCAGCTGACTGGTAAAGGAGACATTTCATTAGTCGCACTTGATTGTCGAAGAATTTTGATTAAGATTGTTTGCCGGGCGTATAACTTGGAGCATTATGAAATATTTCGAATGTTTAATGGAGAAAAATTTGAAATTACGTTATAGGAAAAGCACACATCATGGTGTTGTCAGAGAGCAGTGAGTAAATAATGGATGAGAAACTATTGTCTGCCCGTCACAGTTTGTAAAATAAAAATAAATGCCAGAAAAATGCTATTTTACTTCAACAACACATTGATATGACATTATCGATAAAATGTAGAATAGCGTCGAATTGGAAATAATGCAATAATTTTGAAATTATAACAGGCAAATTTTTGTAATTCGTATTCTTTCGTAGCAGTCATAATCGTCCTTATAAAGTATGACTAAAATTTCGGCTAATCCATCTAAATGATGCCATTCCGATTTGTGTCCTAATAAATAAATAAATGTGCAAATTTATGAGCTTCGAAAGCTCGATTTGCATATGAGCCGTAAATTAAGATTTTAGCGAGATAAGTAATGGGTCGATTTACCAACCTTCCAAAGCGGATATCCTTCGTAATAGTGAAATCTTCCTTGCATGCACATGATAGGTACACCGTGAAGGTAGCCGAAGACCATTTGACCGACGTGGCCCTTCACCGTCGATGTGGGAAAGTGGGGAATTTCCTCGTACGGGAAGCATTGCTTTTGAGTCAATGTATCGGTAATCGCGCCTGAAATCAAAATAATTTCCTTATAATACAAACTGGATGATTTTTCCAGATTAAGTTCTTCCCGGCCCTCTCCGTTGCTTTTTTTTCCCAGAATCTTATCTGTTGAAAATATTACATATTTTACTCCTTCATTTTTTTTTTTTTTTTTTTTTAATGCAATATACTTCTTCTCAAATGCTTCACGCTCGTTAGTATAATAATTTTTAATATTTTTAATATTTTTAATATTATTCATTCTGCTGCTTATGTAGACGTAATCGCAGTGTCTTTTAAAGACATAGAATAATTACTTTTAGGAACTTTGTAAAATAACAGATTAATATATCAGAATGATAGATAATTTTTTTATCACTTTGGACGTAAAATATTTTCTTCGACTAAATATTATGATATTCTCTATCTATCTAGTTTTCGATATAAATAATGAAGCATGTTATTATGCGTGATTGGTCTATTTAATTTAAAAATATTAAATGTTACAGGTAAACCGCATATCACAATACACAAGTAATAATATTTAATAATAATAGGATATCTCTTTTCATAGTCATCAGTCAGAAGTATTATATAAATGCTAAAGAATGTATCATTTTCAAAATAATTTTACACATTAATTATCACTCAAGTTCTTATTTCATATATTTTCTTAATGCATGAAATTAATGGTGATTTTCATAGTTTGGCAGAAAATAAAATTCGGTTTGTTTGCTTTTTTTTTCTTCTTCTTTTTTTTTTTTTTTTTTTTTTTAAACTCAACGCTATTAATAAATTTTAACGGGAATACTTAAACAATGTATAATAAAAATTCTGAAATTTTTTATTTACAACCATGTATGAGAAATGTGAGCGGAATGGTAATAAATTTTAGATGTTTACATAAATTTTGGGGAGATGACAAGATTTCGCTCAAATAAATCGAATATTCATAGACACAGCAACAAATTGAAATATTATAGAATGTAAAGGCAACGCTTACACAAAATTATTAAAAAAAGGTTTTGTACATATTTACTTATCGATACGAACTTGCAAACTTGAATTAATTCAATTGAAAATTGTTAATAAAATGTTTATGCATGCTAATAGATAATCGAGCACTACAATTTAATAATACGTTAAATATTCTAAATTTTGTAAATATCAGTAATACAATTTGATAAATGCTGAAATATTTTATTTTACATAAAGGAAAATTATTACTATGACAATTAGTTGTTATATGTCGATGTATGGATCAGTAGGATGAAACTTAAGTTTTTCGTATAAAATATTTTCCGCTCATTTCAGCTAGTATGCTACTAATTTTATCCATATTATTTATTTATATTTAAATTTCAACGAAATGCTGCAAAACCCTTCATAATTAAGCATCGATACAACGGTAGGTTCACTTGCTTGTATAGATCATATAAATTAATTCAAATTAATTCTAAAGAAATTATTCAAAATAATTTATATCAATTTAATAAACGAAAGGCAATTTGCATTGTATTTTGATAAAAATTGTAACGAAACTGAAAAATCAATTTAATTCTTATGCGCTTACCTAATCCAGATCCACAAATCATGCCAATTTTAGGTCGGATTGATGTACGATCGAGCAAATAATGTGCACTCTCCTGAAGTGATTCGAAACTAAATCTGAAAAACAAATAAACAAAAGACTCAATACTTGCTAGACAAATAAAACGTATTTTTTTTTTTTTTTTTTTTATTTCGTTTAGGGAAAAAGTTTTTTACAATTAAAAATCAAACTAGATCAAGCAACATTGAAAACGAAATTTTGCAGCGACAAAAAATTGACACCTCCTAAAAATCTTTAAAATTAAAATAAATTTTATTGTAAGCTCTAGATCGATTAGAGATCTCAAATTCTCATTGACAGTTAACACAACTGCAATTGCTGCTCTTATAAAAATATTCATCGATTTCACAATAAATGGCTAATTATGGAGATAACAATGTTGAGTCACAGTTTTGCAATTAGTGAATTGGCAATATTTGTTATGCGCATAAGGAAAAAGGTCCGTGACTATTATGGGTTAATGCTTAAGCATTTTTGCATTATAACGCGTCTTCTTTATTATCTGCGGTTAGAAGAAGTCAGGATCATTAATTTACGCGAAATACTACAGAAATATTGTAAAAGAATTATTCTTACCCCTATTTACTGACTTTACGTACTACGCACTTATATATCTGTTATTACGTATTTAATAAGCAGCTGAAAACTTACAGGTCAATAACCCACGTATTATTATTTGAAAGAAGATAGACAGCTATCGCCTTTGATTTTGCAAGTAAGGCGCGATTAATTAATTCGTGTATTATAAAAAAAAAAAAAAAAAACCATTACCGAGAATAATAAAATTTAAAAATGGAAATATCGAACGATGCGAATGAAATTTATTCATATAGATTTTAATAATATGGTATTTAATTAAGTAATACTTGAACCGTCGATATATGTCCCAAGTATAATAGGAAAATTGATCTTCAATGTCACCATAGTTACAGGCTTTTTTAATTTTACTTTTTTTTTTTTTTTTTTTTTATAACAAACTGCGTAATAAATTAATGTTTAATGAAATTCCACATTATCGATGTGCTGCAAAAAAAAACAAAAAAAAAAAACAAAAAAAATTACAAAAAACAAAGAAAGAAAGAAAAAAATGTGAAAAGCCGAAATAGTTTGATGAATTTCGATGTACGTCTTGTCATAGTCAGCGATTTAATAAAAATGTATTATGCAATAACTCGTATAAGCGCGTCACACGATAGCGTTATCAATCCATTTAGATCAATAGTTCTTGCAAACAAATAAAAATAATGTTTTTAAAGGAATATAATCATTTCTGGTACACTTACCGAAGTTTATTGAAATGTACAGTAAAGCCAAGTTTCTTACTAAATTTTCACAAAACATTAAAAAAAAAAAAAAAAAAAAAAAGCATTAATTAACGGGTAAACATAGTTTGCATTGTCATGTTTATCTTACGAAAATGATAAATAATTTTTTTGTTTTTTGTTTTAAAAACGAGCAGTTACATAAAACTAATTACATTATAATTAAGTAAGTCAACTATCGTAATAAATTATATGTAAAGAAAAATGTCGATCAACTGATTTAATTTTCTTTTTTGTTTATTCTTTTTTTACTTCTTTTTTTTTGTTTTTTGTTTTTTTTTTTTATCGAAAATATTAGAATTCGAAGTCAAGAAGGAAATAGCATAAAAAAAATTTATCCGAATTCACAAAAATCATTTTTAATGCTCATTATAAATAAAGGACGCAATGTAAATATTAATTCGCTTCTGTAATTGTTCGTTCTGGGTAATTGTAGCGAAAGTAAAACATTTATCATTAACGGGAAAATGCAATCTTGGACAATCCTCGCGCGCTTCATAAACGAAGCAGCGGTAAATAAAAAATCATGTTGCAAACCGGAAGCAGATTCCAGGCTTATAACATACGTGTTACACGTTCGCGGGTAGAGGAAGCTGCCGGCGAAGGGGAAAACCCATCGTAACATGGGATTTAAGCCGGACGAGCGAGAGGCGCAGATATTACAAATTACAGTGCGAGAAACGTGCAGGTGTGAGTATCGGGAGTCGGACACTAGATCGAGTCAATTCTGAACAAACACTGCCACATTGTACGACGCGTGTTGTTATAGTTGGAGGTCAAAGGTGTAAAGCAATAATAATATTATACGTGTATGGATGAAGGAAGAGATAGAAACGATTGGGAAACTCGATAATCAGACGGCGAGCTGAATATTTCATACTTTTGTTACATTTAGTTATGTATCACTTTTATTTTACCGAAGCCCATACGTGTATTATTGCTAAAGCGGCTTTGTATACTTTATTATGATGGAATTTTCGATCTTATTCGATATGTCTTTTTTATTTCACCGGCGATGGAAGTTAATTGGTAGCACAGAAAATGCTGCGGTGCTCGGTCATTGCGCGGGCAACGTCATAAAACTAATAAACACCTTTTTAACTTCGTATTAAGTGCATAGCACAGTAATTTTATGCATTATGTTGAAAAGTATTACGCCCGATAATTAATCCGATGACAATGATTAGAAAATCAGCGAGATTCTTGCATCGGCTGTTTTTCATAGCTTCTCAGCTCTGCTTTTCAGCAATACTAAATGATTTAAAATTTTTTAGCGCCATCATAATAGCCATCGTGTCAATTATCAATTAAATAATTAATTTACGGAAAATTATAGTGGAAAAATAAATGACAACTAATTAAATCACACTTTCGTTAAAACTAACCCCCACGGAACATCATCATTAACAACAACAACAACAACAACAACAACAACAACAACAACAACGCATACACAAATATTTATATTTTAGCGGATAGCAGAAAGAGTGTTGCGAGAAACGATAAACGAAATAATATTTTTGACAATTATCTTATTTTCACGTTCGTTGAATGTTGTTATGCGTAATATTTAGATTTTGGAAACAAAAAAAATGAAGAGAAAAAAAAATACTCGTTCGAAATTTCAGACATTGTTCAAGTTCGCGCATTCGGATTTCGGATATAATTCACTTTTACGTTTTGTCCAGTCTATAAAAAATATGTTTGAAAGTCATTGGCAATTCTATCCATCTCATTTTAAAACAAGCAATTCTATACATTTACGATCGAGATTCGTATCGATACAACTGTACTGCCTACATACGGCCTGCCTCACGTGCATCTCGTGCTTAAACAATTAACATGCCAACTGTTTTTCTTTTTTCTTTTTTTTTTCTTTTTTTCTTTTTTTGTTTTTGTTATTTTTCTTTATATAAATATACGTTGAAACAGAGATTGCTTCTCCAAGTTATCGAGAGCACATCATAATATTGACAATAACGAATCTTATTAAACGAGCTCGATCATCATCGAAAAACGGCCTCGAATTTTCCATAATCTTACCAGTGCGTATCGATCAATAACTCAAATCTCGCGTTATCAATGCAATAATGCAGCAAAGCAAATTTACTTAAACGGATGCGATAAATAGTACGTCAATAGTTTCTTTCTGGTGGCGTCGACATTCTCATTCCCAACTACTACATATTCCATCTAGCCGGATTTTTTAAACGGACGGCCTCACTTTCACCCGCGAGCCGCTTTGTTATCTCGCTGCCCCACTACATACCGATAACGGTCAAGAATAATGGCAAAGATCACTTGTTAAGCACTGTTTACTCCAAATACGGCGCATCGTTCGATCGTACGTCTCAATTACATTCAAATTTCCTTATTTAGCTCATTGAAGGTGAGGGCCGTCGGTTCCTCCGACCAGTCCTCCTCGCACGTGCGCGCACGCACGCACGCGCACACACACACACACACCAATGATATTAATAAAAATTCACGGCTCTCGAAGCATTATAAAGCGCTAATCGGACTACGAACACTGAGCGTAATCGCACATTAATGCCTACCGATATACGATAATTCGGTTATTCGTACGGGAAACTGCAACGAAGCCGTGAAAATGACGATTTGAGTGCTCGAAGCTCTCGGCTGCGTTCCACTTTTTTTTCCAACACTGAGAATTCTGTGAATTGAATCGGCCGCATCGGGGTATCAATTTTCCAATAATACACTCGTGGATATCTCATCGCCGTTGCCGACTCTTCATTAGCCTAATTAGCTTAATCGTCGTCGGCCTCTCTTTCGCCGATGTTCGGCCAAATCGCCGGGCAGAGGGGATGATAATTAACGCACTCGATTGACGAGCCACTTGATCGATCGATTTAAGCCGATCTCGCGATTTCGTCTTCGTGCATCTTTACGCTCCTCGACAAAAAAAAAATAGTAATAACAAGGGGAGGGGAGCATCCGAATGGGAAAGGATGAAAAATTCGACATTCGCGAATCGCTCGCTACATTATGCCGACAATTCCTAGGAATGCAAAACTCCGATATTCCACGATATTACGAAGATTGATATTTTATAATAGTACATAATATCAAGTATGCAAAAAAATTTTTAAATAACTTCCAAGATAGAGATATTAGGCATGGACTTGTTGCGATACAATTAATAATTACAACAATTATCATTATTGTAACAAAAACATAAAGAACGACAACAACGACAACGACAACAACAACGACAACGACAACGACAACAACAACAACGACGACAACAACGACGACGACAACAACAAGAACAACAACAACAACAACAACAACAACCACAATAATAATAATAATAATAATAATAATAATAATACAAACGACAACAACAGCAGCAACAGCGATAGTAATAATTTCAATAATGACAATAATAACGATGATATAATACATTATATAATACATATGTGTGTATACATATCTGTTATTGCTAATGTTTCTTTTGCTGCTGCCATTCTTACTACTACCACTACTACTCCACTACTACTCCACTACTACTCCACTACTACTCCACTACTACTACTACAATTATTACAATTATTATTACAATTATTATTATTATCATTATTATTGTTGTTGTATTTGTTGTTATTATTGTTATTATTATTATTGTTGTTGTTGTTGTTGTCGTTATTATTATTATTATTATTATTGTTATTATTATTGTTGTTGTTGTTGTTGTTGTTATTATTATTATTATTATTATTATTGTTGTTGTTATTATTGTTATTATTAATGTCAATTGTTAAAAGTACTGTTTGTATTTTAATTTTAATTTCGATAAAAGATAAAAGAAATTTATCATGTTTTTTATTACTTATTGATGCTATCGATCTTGGTATACTAAATAATTCTTTTTGCGTCTCACTCTATCATGAAATATAGGGTTAGAGATTGTTTCAAAATTTTAAAAATTAAAACACAAATATAAGATAAAATATAATGCAAGAGTCTTGATTAATTAAAAACGTCTTCTCAATCCATAAACAAAGTTAAAAAATATTTATAATTATACATGAATTTTATTTATAAACTGAGCGTCTAATGATCTTTATTATTAATTTCAATTTTTTCTAAGTTCGATAAATCGTTTCTAGGTAGTTATTAATTAGTAGATTACAATTTAAAAATTCTGTGTTAAAAATTTTTGCAAATATATTTTACAATTTCTAACATATAAAAAAAAATATCTATTATTGAAACAAAATTACAAAATGACTCACACTTTCGAATTGTAGATCAATTTTTTTTTTTTTTTTTTTTAATTATAACAACGTATTCCATAAGAGCTTTTATTATTTTTGAGTAATAATTAAATTTGTACAATATTTTATTAATATCCAATTGAGTTTGTTATCATAAATTCCATAATAATGTTTATAATAAATCAGAATATACATTTTTTTATACGAATTTTTCAAGTGGCAGTATGAAAAATTTAATTTATCCAAAAATTCCGTTCAAATAGATTCATATCGACACTTCATAATATCTCATAAATAGTGTTTATATATATATATATATATATATATATATATATATATCAACATTCTAAAATTTTAATTTCTCATTATTTAAAATTATAATGTATATATAGAATTGTATTTTTAATGTTTATTCATATTTTATTGCCAGGTTAAAAAATGATTTTATCCACCTATAGATTTATTTATAAAGTCATATTGTATATGATTATATGAACAATTATGCAATCTCGCAATTCATTGTACGGGACTAAATAGCCAAAACCAATGTTTCATACAATATAATAAATTAATATACGTTAATGAAATCATCGATGCGTAGAGCTCTATCTATTTTCAGAAAAAAATAAATACATCACGAAGTGTACGGAAAAGTGACTTTTTACAACAAGGAGATATAAATACCAGGTAGGTGAATAAAGAGAGACATTACCGCTGAGCAGATATTTTCTTATTTCGACGTGTGAATAATCGAGGCCTTCGCGTCGACTAGAGAAAAAAACTGGGCTCTGCGTACAATGAATAATGACGTCACAAAAGGGTACAATCTCTATTTTTTGCTCAATCGCGTAAAGTCGGTATCTTAAAAAACATTGGGCGATTCGATTCCAATGCATTACGCAGTCGGCGAAATTCATGGAACAAAGAGACACACAATTAGCAGGGGATTTTCGATAGGCGACGCACGCCGAATACAAAGATAAGTTCGAACATTGCTGAAAGTCACTTGAAACGTTCGCGGCTTTAAGAGAAAAGAAGGGAGAGGAGGGCGCTCACTTGACAAATTCCCGTAACTTTGACTTCTCGCCGGTGCTCATATTGCTCAACTATGTAGTTGTGCTGCTCTCTCTCTCTCTCTCTATCTCTCTATCTCTCTCTCTCTATCTCTCTCTCTCTCTCTCTCTCTCTCTCTCTCTCTCTCTCTCTCTCTCTCGCATAATAGATGAGCCGAACTCTTATAATTATCCAATGTGGCACGAGTGCGAGTTTCGTCGGGTTATGGGAGCATCGCTTTACTTACTTGTCAGCCAAACTCCCGCATTGGATAATTGTATTACGTGTGCCAGAATTATTTGCGCGGTAAATACTGTCGCTCGAATTGAGAGTGAATTTTCTGTTAATTAAATGCAAGCGTTCGACTGGAAGTTCTGCTTGAAAACAAAGATTTTTTTTTCCTTTTTTTTTTTACTTTTTTTTTCAGTTAAGGATGTAACGCCACCGAGGGTGACAAGTATTATATTATAACGAGTTAATCATCAAATAAGTCGACGAATTTTGAAAATTAATAATTATTGAATTAATTGGTGATATTGGAAGCCTTATTATTTTGCATACTAAGTTTATCGTAGCCCATGCGCTATCAGGATGCATTAATTTTCATTGCACTTTTTACAATATCACGATTGCCCATAATAGTTTATAAAATCGAAAAATTTGTAAAATATCGATTACAAGCTTGGAACCAAATCTTTGCAAAAATAACAAATAATAAATAATTATGCGAATTGGATTGGCTACATTGCCCGCGTTTTTTAAACACAGACACGACAATTTTAGCTAGAGTTTTATTGCCGCAATTGTCGCACAAGCCTTATCGTCACAAGTATCAATAATATGCATGTGTGTGAGCATCCTATTGAAAGTGCAGGGTTAACGTAATCTAAAGTCTAGCGATGCTATTACACAATAAAACGATCGCTCAACAACACCAATGATTTGCTAATTATTCGAATGGCGTAGGTAAAGGTACGATAAGATCAATTTCCTCTGAAAGAGGAATTCAACGCCCGGGCAGAAAAGGGCTGCTTGTAAGTTGTAGCAAGTTGAAAGTCCAAGTTCCTTATCAGCCTCTTTCCGATTCTCTAACAATTTTCCTGGGCGCGACTCGCGCAATTAAGCCCCATAAAAGACTGGACGCACGTGGATAAGATCGTGGCTACCCAGCACCCGTCATCCGTCTTCCTCAGCCGAGGGCGACATCGACGGCTCGCTTACGGGCGGCTAGCAATTATCCGCGACAGGAGTGGAGCCTACTTACCTCTACAACTCGCCCTCTTTCTCTACTTTCCAGATTAATTCATTAAAGTTAATGGCCCTTGGCCGATGATGCGTCGCGTGATCGAAAAATGAGTCGAGGAGACCCGCCTCTTAGCTCCTACTCCTCTCTACTTCACTTTTCTCTCGAATTTCCTCTTTTTATGCCCCGGTCTTCGTCCCCTTCTTCGTCGTCCCTCCTTATTACTGTCTTACGTCCCCGTAGATTTCACCTTCTACTTTCCTCGTTCTTTTTTAGCCTTCATTCTTCTCTGTCTCCATGAACATGGACATAGCCAAGTTGGTTCGTAATTTAGACCGAAACTTTGTCCTGTCGACGCTTTTGTAAAGTTGATGAGTTATTTTCTAGCGCCATTTACAGGACTACAATTAACAAATTTGGTTCTTTCTTTTTTTCTTCTTATATATATATATATATATATATATATATATATATATATAGAGAGAGAGAGAGAGAGAGAGAGAGAGAGAGAGAGAGAGAATAAAGGAAACTAGGATTATTCAAAATTTCTTCACGCAAACTCAAGTGAACACTTACCGTCGCTTTAAAATCTTTACTTATGCCTTTTCTTTTTTATTTATCTAATACGTAATATAAAAATTAATAAACGTTGCGTATTGCCGTTGTAATGACTGAAAAGGATATTTTCAAGATTTTATACGGCTATAAGCGTAACGCAAGTATGCATTTAATCGTGCAATTGATAAATAAGAAAAATAAATAGATAAAAAAGTTAGGAATTACTGTTAACGAATTCCACAATTGCTCATTTAAAGATTTTTCTTCAAAATTATATTCCATTCCTCGAATGCGAGTATCGCAATACCTTTTAAAGTCTCACGTATATACAGAATTTCAATTAAATCTTATACCGTTTTGGAAGAATACACGAATAAAAAGAACTTTGTGACTTTTGAACTGATTAGTTGCTACAACATGTGGTTGTTTAAAAGATATAATTGCTTATTGCAAAATATATTAAAACTTCATTTATGTCGTTTAAAAGCACGGTTTCATCGAATATGGAAATATTTTTGCGGACAACTGAAATATCTGTCTCCTGCATAATAATTAAATATTATAAAAAATTCTTTGCAACTTTTGTGGCTTTACGCGAATGAAATAGATTTCCGATCATCCGAATGAATTTTATTCCAGATTATTGAAAGTTTGCATATTTGGAGGGAAATTTAATTAATTTTGCCAGATAATGTTGAAAGAAATTATTTATTAGCTCAATTTTTCTATTCACCTCGTACAGCCGAACAAGATTTTTCAACTCGAAAGCATACAACGCAAAAAAACACAAAGAATTTTCAATACTAAAAATCATTGTAAGCATTTTTCAACCATATGGTACAGCTTTCACTATATAATTCAAAATTACATTCACCATCTTAACAACGCGGAGAAAGCGTAAATTTTCCTTTCTTTCTCAATTTAATTTCTTAGAATCTCGAATCTATGAAAACATAAGAAATGATTTAATCAAAGCTTGGCATTTTCGTACGTTCGCAACACGAAGACACGCGTGTATTAATTAATCAATCAATCAACCAATTAATTAATTAATTAACGAGTACCGATGCCTTACCGTTATAAAGTTAATTGATTTTTTACAAATGAATTTGAGCCTTCGGCTTTATGCTTTCGTGTAATAACGTATAATCGCTTCAACATTTATTCAGGCTTGCGCCGCTATGAAAAATCGTGATTTTACGTATACTTAAAGAGGAGAATTGAAAAACTGGAGCGGCATAAATGAGGTTAATATTATGAGTTTATCGAATGTAGGAGAAAAATTATTTTAAAAATGATTTCGTGAATAAGTGCTCATAAAATTGCATCGTGGAAAAGAAAAACAAAACGAAAAAACAAACAAAACAAAAACAAAACAAAAAAACAAAACAAAAAAACAAAAAAAAAACAAAAAAAAATACCCTAGTTAACGTTAGGCCACGTTATTCGGATAGTTTTAATTTTCTTAAGAGCAACGGACATTATTAATAGTTTGAATGACAATATAGCTACCATCAAATGCAAACAACTTGTCGTGGAATTTCAGTTGTATTAAATTTTAATATTCGGCAATTAACGAACTTTTAAATGAAAAATATTATTGGAGTAATATAATCATCAAGAGTTTGGTAACGACAATATAATGTTGATAATTTAATGCAAGTAACTAATTATAATGCCAGCTATTCAATATTGAATAAAACATTTTGCTTTTATCGTTTAATTTTAACGTTTAGTCGTCGATGAGAGCATCAAAGTGTCTCCGAACGTCAATTTACAAACCACAAGCCAAAATTCAGAGCTCAAATGTCACAATTTACTTTACGAATAACAGCCTAACAATTTATTATCTATTCGATAAATCTTCCACTTGCGTTAACTCGCCCATGTTTCAAGTGTCAAATGATGCATCTCGCGCCTAAACAAGACATCACAAATAACTGCTACCACAAAGGGATTTCAGCAAACGAGAAAAGAATGAAAGAAAAATACTGCGTTTGGGGGAAGTTCTCGACCCGCCATTAAGGGTCAATTACGTATGCGCGCGCGAATGTCGTTGGAAGACGCCGCGGGTAATTCAGCTAATAATATGTCCGGCTTGTTTATTAGTCCGAAAGTTGGCCGTTTGACCACGCGATGATGAAATTCACTCAAAGGAAACTAATTGCGACGGAGTACAGAAACTACGCCGCGGGGGCTTGGTTCTCGAAACTCAAAAGTTACACGCCAGCTTTTCGGCCCTTTTTCAATGCCGAGCTCTCGCTCGAGGTTTGCCGATGTTAGACTAGTAGTGGTGGTATTAGTGCCCGACTGAGACTTTGGTCTCTCCACTTGGAATATCCGCACCTTCCCTCCTTTCCAATGGCTTTTTCATTACTCGCCTTGTGTTTGTTGTTTACTGGCTTTTGCCGATCGTCCTACAGAAGAAGACACTTTAACTTGCCTTTCAGTTATAAGATAAGAGCGCCACTATTGTATTTCAGCGATTCTTTTGTGAAACAAGATTATGTAGTTAGATCGGTTTTCGGAGTTAAGTGTCTATTTACAACATAATCGATGTCATAATAAACCATTACGGTATTTCTCTTACAGGCCACTTACTTCGTTCTCACGGCAGACATTAGCTAGGAATAATGATAATTTTACTTCAAATTCATATAAAACTGTTAAGTATTTCGGCTTTATCGCATTATCGCATACTGTATCGATATTTTATAACATTGAATAATATAGTTTTTCAATAATTCGACGACATACATCGAAGCATAGCTTTAATGTATAATTTAGTGTATAATTGGAAGGAGAACGGATATGTTGATGGGAGTTAGAAATGAACAAACATAGACTTTTAAAAACAAAATGAGAATTATAGATATATAATAATAATAATTATGACCATGATGATGATGATGGTGATGATTATGGCGATGATGATGATGATGATGATGATGATGATGATAATGATAATAATGATAATAATAACAATAACAACAATAATAATAATAATAATAATAATAGGGACTTCAAATGCAGTAAAACTTCTATAAATAATGGCCAAAAATTACCTTTGACTGTAAAACTGAAACGAAAGAGTAATGTATACAATAATATTCGAGAAATAGGAAGGCCACCGAGTTAAACGAGTCATTATCAAGACAATTATTTTATTTAGTAAATTAACCGAAATTAATCCCAATTAATTTCTATTAGTTTTATATACGCACTTTCACTTATCTCAAGTATAATCTTGCGAAAAAAATTTTTACTTTTTCTTATTATTTTTGTTTTAATTTTTTTATTAACGCATCACATAAATAAAAATTAGCAAAATGTTTCTTTTCAACATTCCCGATACTTTAACGATCGCGTTAAACATTAGGCTTTATCGTATACATCGAATAGAGTGTATTTGACTTTATTCTGACTAAATACGCGCAAAAAACGTACGAACTCGTTAAGTAAAGCAGCTGTCGTCGACGCTGTTGCCGACAATTGTTTGTTTTAATTTACCATTTAGAAGCAAAAACTTTGTCTTAAATAATATAGATCGCGCACTTAATTGGCGAATTAAGTTAATGAAGAAAAGCAGAAACGTAATTGTAAATATAATGTGTCATATGGTTGTTTGAAGCTTCTTTCTGTTTTTCTAAATCCAGCCGATACTGTTGTAACGACCCAAGCGGTCCAATTTTATAACCAAGAAAATCTAAATCTACTATTTAATGATGCAGGTATGTATCATATATAATCATTCCCCATCTCTCAATATGTCAAACGTATGGATATAAGAGGTTGTAGCTTGCTATATGATCGAAATATTTTATATTATTTATTCGGATCACGCGCGCGACATCGGGCGACTCGTTGATAAGTCGTCAACCGTTACTGACTTGCCATAATTTTTATCGACTTGTCACGTAATTATCCACGTGCTTTAACGAATTGACAATGCCGTCTTATTAATACGATGCTAATTATTACTATTATTATTAATAAATCCGGAGGCCTAGATGATTAGAACATACAATACAGTACGCACGATTAATGAAAATGCAATAAATTAAACTGCACTTTCTAACATTGATAATCAACTGTAAAAAAAAAAAAAAAAAAACAAGCAGAATATTTATCTCGATAAAAATGTTTTATCAATGTACAGTTGTCGCAAAAATGCTATTTATCTAAATGAAAATGATGATAATTAGTATTGAAAAGAATTAAAGAGAAAAAAAAAAGAAAAGAAAAAAATCCAAGCAAACGGTTGTCATGTTGTATAATTCAAATGATTCAACTAACAAAATTTATTCGTAATTTTGTATTTATTGGATTTAAGGATTTGATCTTTTCTCTTTGATAATATAATAAGAGCCAAAGAAAACTAACGTCTCCCTCGGTCCTCTTTATCAAATGAAAAATTAAACTCTTTTCTTCGACAAATTAAAAAAAAAAAATCATGATTTATTTATCAGTCTTTGGATACATAATTAATAAATTTACAAATTGTGGTAAATTACATAACGCCTAAATTAATTTCAGGTAAAAAATAGAAAAAATAAAAAATAACAAGATAAGTTTTGTATCACAGATGTGTAATAGAGACGATCGGCGATTCGATAATGTCAATCAAGAAGAAAACTTCATAATGAGCGATGAAAAAAAAAATCCGGCAACAAAAGACATAGAGAAATGCAAGCGGCGATTCGTAATGGGAAAGATTTGATTTTGTTTAAATTACTCGAACAATGGGAAACAATTTGCCTATTAAAAAGAAATTCTTGTTTATATAAATAAGCTTAATATGCTTGAGGGATTTGAAATTCCACGCTTCTCGTCTCAACGTCACTCATG